TAATAAATAAGTGATAGGAATTTCCTGTTGCACATCTCAAGTTTTTCATCGGTATTTTCTTGTAAAACAGTAAAAGCTGAGAAGTAATTTCATATTGCCCATCATCTTATTACATCCATGGATAATCTTTTTATGACTACCGTCATGAAGTGAATCGTAAGTTTTTTTTCTTGAAGACTCAATCAAAATGTAAATAGGAAATAATAAATATTATGTAATTTCTTAAACTATTGCCGATATTGAAAATAAGCAGTTACTAGACATATTATGTAGATACTTAATATTCAAAACATTTTATAATTCAGTAGTAGGCGCCCACATGGGGACGAGCACAAGCACCGCGTTACCTAACACCGCCTTTGGGAAATACTCCTGCTCATCTTCACCAGGTATTGGTAAAAGTAACGTTGTGCAATCTACATCGTTTTGGAGTACTAAGACCGTCCGATGAACCTCGATCATCTATACTGCTGCATTAGAACCGAATCGATTTCCTGCGCTGCAGTATTCTGTTTTGAAAACATAATAACACATTGACATAATAGGTCAATATTTTCTGTTTCTTCCGTTGAATGTTCATTGTTTGTACCACCCTCCACTCTTCCATTGTAAGGATTTACCTATAAGTTTTAACACCACAGTGGAAAAAAAAATCTAGAGACCTCGCCGGGTTGTATGAAAGTATTGAGAAGATATATAACATACATTCTGCATGTAGGAAAATTGCATAACCGACAAATCATAGCTTTTCAATAAAGCCAAAACAAGTTTGGAAAAAAAAAATTAATTCTGATACTATTAAGAATTTGCTTCCTCACTGCCTAAGGTTGGGAAGTTTTGTATTCGTGCTTTGCGTTTCCACTCACGTTTTAAGTTTCATTCAAACATCAAGAACCAAATTAGATTCGGTGTCTGTCTGTAGTCAAATCGATGTGACGGTCTCATCACCAACTACCGTTTATCCGATTTTCATGATACCTTCAGGGATTGTGCGGGATAGCGCATAGGTGGTCCCGCATCAATTTCAACAAACCCCATCCAATACTTCCGCTTACGCACGCGCTAATGTATTTTCTTAGACATGCCTATATTTCTTTAAGGCTCGTTCGATTTGGATCAAAGTTAGTATAAAGGAGGTTAATGTTAAAAAAATTATTTTGTATCCACTAGTTTATCTTAAAGCACACTCGAATTGGTAATAATTTGAATTAAGTTGAGTTAAGAAATTTGGATTGATAAATGAATGACCGAGCACATTTCAATTTCATCCAAAATTGTGTCCACTTCTTTCAAAAAATACTTCCACTTTCGAATCTCAAAACGTATTGTTTTTAACACGCCTATACTTCGTAATTGTTCGTATCAATTTCATTAAATTATAAATTTAATTTAAACTGGATTTTGTTTTGAATTCAATATGGCACCTTCAGACGTCACTTAGATTTCAAGTAGTTTTCAGTGACTATGGAGGTTGAAACTTAGGTGGTTCACTATAGGCTACACTGAATCCCATTCACTTCTTTCGCATAGACGTGTGTTTTTCTTATGTACTAATGTACCACAATCCCTTAACATTTGCCTGGGTTATTTCCAGAAACATCACACCAATCTCGAATTCATGAATTCTGCCCTGGAGATCTAATATATAAATCTTATTTTCTTTATATATGGTATGAATGTGTTCATATATCACTATAATTATTGTCCACGTGACAGATTGTTATATTTCTAAATAAATAAATTTTTAAAATAATACATAAATCTAGATTTAATATGACAGAAGTTACACCATTATCGACTGCCCAATATGCATTAAAATATTCACCGACGTTGAATATAAAAAAAAATGTTGTTGTACATAAAAACGATTATAAATGAAAGCAACATTGAAAATGGGTTCTACTTCAAAACAAAACCAATGAAACAATGTAAAACGGAGCATACCGTGTGTATAACGATCATAGAGATATCTTTGTTTACCGTTTCCTATCTGGACAGTTGATACCTCATCATACTTGGAAATCTTTCAGGAAAACATACCTGGCAGTCCATGCTTTCTAACCGAACGGGAATAATGGTGAAACTGGATTTGAGAATGCGCCTTATCAATTCCAAATCTCTATATCTGTATCGGTTAGATTTCATTTTTGATGCAGTATTATTGTTGAAAGTTAATAATCACGTGAAAAAAGTAACTATTAGTGTAAGACTCCTTTTAATAATTGTAGATTTTGGAGTCTTCCATTCCTTTCTGTCGATGGATAATCTGATTGTTCGTATAAAGATGTAAGAGAGGAGTGAATTGTGCAGTGTTATATTTGAAAGTTAATCGGTTTTACATTTTAAAAGGATGCTAACTCGCTACCCCTCCAGAGAATATATCTTCACGACTCGGCGGGTCAAAACTGTTTCGACATCGACAACCGACCTTTAAGGAGCATCTGCATACAAACCCGGAACAGTGAATGTCGTATTAATTCCTCGCGCACGAGACAATATAACACGGATTGATGTATCTCCTTCGCCAAATTTGCAATCTATTGATTCTTCCGCAATCAGGAGTTTAGTGCATTCCGGTATCTAAGGGTTTAAATATTTCAAATTTCTGAATCCATGAATACCAATCTTCGTTTCTACATTAAACAAGAGGTGATAGTTCAGTTTGTTAAATAACTATAAATACCAGCGATTCAGTCAAGCAACGAATCGCTTTAGAGAATAGATTGTCGTTTCTGTTATAGAAATGAAAGCGAAGAGACTCGTTTAAGGTATAAAAATAAATATTACTTCACCGAATTATAATTATAATAAGATATTTGTTTTTATCCAATGCCTCTAAACTTTCAGCTTCGGCCATGAGTCTTCTAGCTGCCCAGTAAATGACAGATTTTGAGGAATTTGGTGTTTTTATAAATGACAAATCAGGACATGATTCTTGGAATGCATTTTGTAGCATGGATTAAGATTAAGGGATTCCACTATACCTATTTTATGTAAATGGTTTTTTTTTCTATAACCATCCTTGGTAATCATTCTGAATTCTACAACTGCATCTTTTCGTGTTTTATCTGTTGGAATGCCCACGTCTTCCTCCAGTAATATGGCACAGTGTTTACCAAAAGTAGCACTTCCTGCTCCTCAAGCTGTGTTTCTTGTACGGATTTCTCTATTTTATTTCTTCCTGGATGCTACGTCATTTTTTTCTCTGTCTTGAATTGTTTAGCTCACTTCTTCGCTGAAGCGCCCGTCAAACAGTTCCTGACAGCGCATTGCATCAACCAATGCTCCATCTCAAGCTCTAGAAAGTGCCAGAACTGCTTGGAATCAAATAAAATTACTGTTTTTCCCACTGTTGTTTCTATTAGTCAACTTGAAGCTAAGATCTAACTGGATCGTTCTGGAGTTTTCGCAATAACACTTATCTTACAGAAAGCCTTTGACCTATGGGAATCCCCAAGGAAGTTTCATTAGTTAATCCATTCAAATCGCGTGAGAATTAAAGACAACTATGATGCACCTATTATAATACATTTACCTATTTTACATACAACGTACATGTAGAATGTTTCAATAGGTTTTTGATTAAATAAAATAAAAATAAAATTCTGAGGATGAGGATGATCATGGGAATAGATTTATGAAATTAATTAAAAAGCGATAAACATATGCTGCATCTAATAAAAATAAAACTATTACAATACTGAAAAAGCCTGTAAATGCGAAACACAAAATTATTTATCAGACAAAATAAACCGCGTATTTGTTATTTTATGAAGTAGATTTTCCTTTCATTTATATGACATACTTAAGACGAAGACGAAATGAATATGTTCGAAACCAAGATTAACCGACGAAGCTCAAAACTGCACATTCTAAATTAGATTGTACTTACAGGCTTTTGCAGTGTGGCTGTCGATGTATTACTTTAAAAAGCGCATATATTACTAACAATGCAAAGACACTGACAGCTTGTTGTTCACTAAAAGGAATAAAATAATGGGATGAAGTAATTGGTAATGACGAGAAAATAAAATATGAATTTAATGAACTCGCTGTACTGTTAAATGTGTAAAACAAATTAAGTGAAGTATTTTTATGATGGCGTAAATGATTGAGCTAAGTAATTGGATTCAAAGTAAACTATGCGTAAAAATACTAGTGAAAAGCTAAGGAGCCTTAACTTACAGAACATACACTGGTTACAAAATTTATAAAGTTGTCCAAAATCGGTCTAGATTTTGGCAAGATCAAGAGCCAAGAATAGTAAAAAAAAGATAGTTTTTGTGAATACAAATTAAGGCAAAATAGTTACTAATACTTGACAATTTTAGTTACTATATGTAAAGAATTTGTATAACTAATATACTTTTGCATATTACTCTATGAGACTCGAGCAACCTTTACAATCCCGAATATTTTCGACAAATTGATTTCAGCCCAATAATATTTCCTTACCAGTACGTTTTCATTTAAGTACCCAAGAATAAATACTGAAGTCAATATTGAGATGAATAAAAAATAAACTAAAACAATTCGATAAAACAATAAACAATAAAAACAAAACAATAAAAAAGATAGATAATTTATTATTACAAAAGTTTTATTTGGGTTTAAATTATTTCTTGACCTTCACCCTAGTAATTATGGAACGTTTTAACATTATTGAGCATAAGCAAATTGAAGAATTTATCATATAAATGAAAATAAATTATTATGATTTCGGTTATGGGGATAGGAGTTATAAAATAGTGCACCTACAATTGAAACAAAATGTATTGATTACAAAATATATAGTAAAGGCATTCAGTCGATGTTAATGTCACAGATGCACTCAGCCAATACAGAAGATTAGTCAATTAGCTTTAAAAGCATTGGAATATTGTCAGTCTAACATGAGCATATATTTTTAATATAAAAAACTGATTGTTAGTGTTGAACCAGATGTTTATTTATAATCTTTGTACATTATTTTATCTCATGTCAGAACCATAAGAGCATGATCAAAGAGAGGTTTCAACTGTTATCGGCTGTATAATCTCTGGGCTTCTACTTTGGGTCGTTTGAGGCGGTATAGGTCCTATGAGCATCGATAGTACTGACGGCATCAAGAATAAGTAAGCTAAGGGCCTCATTAACAAAGAAAAGAGGAACATTAACTGATTGTAAAGAGTTATAGAACTCTCAGGAATCAAAGCGAAATTAATCAGAGAAGCATGGGAAGATAGCTGCAATATAATAGATTGATAACCAATCAAACTTGTTTTTTCAAGTATAGCCAAAAAAATGTTTTCTATCAAAATAACAGGTAGCGATTTAAAGCAAACGATTACAAAAACGTTTAGACTTGAGACGGGTCCAAAATATGCAGGCCACTCGTTTGGCCAATTGTAAATATTGCAAGAATTTCCTATCACAAGAAAAGAAGTTAGAACGTAGGACAAGAAATAATATGTAATTCTTACATCTGGCCAAGTTATGGAAGTTGAGACAACTGGAAAATGCAGTGTTGAAGAAACTAACTCAGATATATTAGAATAACCTTCCAGAAGTGTCCAAGAAAAAACATGGCTTAAAATTACAAGTAACGAAATAGGTTCGAAGCTAAGCGACAACAAAAACACACATACTGAAAGACACAAACATAACTGAAATAACCGAACTGGTAAAGATGATGATCCAATTAAAGGCACAAACAATATGAGAATCATTGGAGTCCACTTTAAGATCAAATTTTGGCCTGTACTAGGAGGCCCATATTGGGAATGAATGGAAATCAAAGCGATCGATAAAAAAGCGACTAAAAATATCGGCCAATCCATGAAGCGAACTTTTAAACAATGTAAAAATACTGCACCAGCTACAATCCATACCATCGCTGCGATAATTAGAACTGGAAGGTAAGGAATATTGAAGGAATAATGAAGAAGAATTAAGTAAGAGAGTGAGGATAACATCCAATAGGCAAGGTGCTGCCCTGGGCTGTAGCGGAGATCTGACAGGGCACTGAACATGATTGCGAACGACAGCATGATTTGTACCACAATAGGGTATGATAAAAAGCACGTGAACACCACGAAGTATATTAAATACATCAATGGTTTCTCTTTTTTTATCTTCACGTTGTTGAGTGCCAATGATTTGTACAGCCTGAACCAATCCAGGCTACATTTGGCCGCTAACCATGATATTGTTGTTGCTAAGATGGCCGCTAAGGAGATAATCAGAGGCGCAGATATAAAAAGAAGAACACCTGTTGTAATGCAAAATATCACGAAACAAATAGTGTGGACAGCAAAAATAGGAGTGAAAAACCTTTGGAAAATGGTCAAGCTTTTGGTGTTTGACTGGACGTTTTCTTGGCCTTCAGGAACCATTTCACGTTGGATAAGCGGCGTCACCTTCACCTTCTCGGCCACCCACCCTAGTGTCACTAATGTCCATCCAACCAAACTTATCAATGCACAGATCCACAAAATATTACTCTCATAATTCCTGTAGTAGCCGATTCCGTTTAATGCCTTATCGATAAGGTCTTGAGATCTTGAAATCGATAGATAATAATCTTCATTTGAAATCGCTTTTGTTATTTCTGACAAGTAAGTATCTATATAATTTTTATCCAGAGGAGAACAGAAACTCGCAAGCCCAAAGCTATATTCTTTTTCAAAGCTTAAAAATAATTCCGCCAATTGTTTTGCATTGAGCAATAGTGATCTAGCCCTATCTTTGTTTTTGGACAGACGAATTATAGGCGCATCACCGAAATTATTGAAAGGTATTTCTGTTCCTATTAAGTACGATATGAATGGTGCAAGATCCACCTGCCTCACGTGGCCCTTTCTGATCAATCGGGAAGCATCCTCAGCCGTGATTTGATTAGTACCAGCCAAGCCTGCGCCCCATGTAATTAGCGGAACCATACTTTCGTTAAGAGAATTTTCTGCATCTTCATCACCTTCAACAAAACCGTAATCGGATGTCACGATATATGATGTCTTAGAATCGGGGAAGAACTTTTCTGTGTTCGAATAAACAACTTCAAGGCTGTCAAAAATATACTTCAGTTCTTTTAGGGCACGGTATGATAGCGGACCGTCCAGTTGAGAAGCCAAGTCGAAGCCGTTCAGATAAAAGAAGAACATATTCGCTTCTTCATTATTAAAAATTGATTTACTCAAAAGATGATACCATGTTTCGAAAACCCATTCATCACCTTTTGTTTGTTTCGGGCCCACAGTTAGATTCTCCCATGCCTCCGGGTAACTGTAAGATCGGTTTATATTATTTAACATATTCCCAAGGGATGATGGACCAATGTAAACAGTTCTAGCAGAATGGAAGACGTTCGCCGTTTGGTTGGTCGCATCGTCTCCAGGTACCCCAGTGATCATTCTTATGAGACCTCGGTAGCGGGCGCTTGGAACATTAACATATATCGGACCGACTTTACCTCGTTTCTTTATTTCTGTAGAAAATTTGGATATATTTCCTCTTGTGTTGAATATGTCCCACCTCAATCCTTCGATCACAACTAGTATTACTCTATTGGATGGTCTGTTACCATCCAAAACGCTCGGTTTAATATCTCTCTGTGGGATAATGGCATTTTTTCCTTTCAACTCTCCTGCAATTTGGAATAAAATAAAATGGACTATTACTGCTAGTAACCATTGATTCAAAGATTCCCTGCTAAAACCCATTTTACTATAAATTTTATTTCTGTATTACACTAACATCCATAACTAATTAATTTTGTTTCGGAATGAACATATAAATCATATGATGAAAATAAATTAACTGTTACAATAGATAAAAAACTTTTATGATTTTAAAAACATTCATATAACTGCTTAATACAAATAGCACTAAATCTACTTAAATACTATATCTCACGCTGTAGAGGAGACAAAAGTCCCAGATCACAATATCAAGTAAACAGGATTAAGTACCAACGGCTATGTAAACAAAACTATTCTAAGGCATCAAATATTGTCCATAACAGAGCTCCAATAAATAGCATACGGTCGTATGTGAGGTCCAACAAACTCAATTTCGAATACGTAATTGTGCAGAAAATATTTTCTTACAATCATTATACATGTTAGAATGAAAGCATGAGCAGATTTAAAGTATTAAAATAACAGTAATAGTACCCACTTAGAAAATAAACATACCCTCTCAAAATCGAATTCCTGCGTGGACACAAAATAGACCACAACCTACATAAATGACTTTAAAAAGTACAGGTTTTAAAGGATATTGCATTTCATCTACAGGCGATTTAGAAGATGGCAAAGCATTGGTTATGATAGTAATGAACAAAGAGGTATGGTATTCTTGGATATGATAAATACTTCGAAACTGATATAGATAAGCTTTGGCCTCTTGTGAAAGATACAGTACATATAGTATATTTCAGCAGATGAACTACCATCGAAAACTGAAATAGATGTTTATAAAAACACAGATCAGAACATTAAATCTTTCCCAGCTGAACATTGGAATATTAACTTTTAAAAATTATATGGTGTGGAATGAGAAGGTTAAATGATATCAAAATTAAGGGAATTAATAAATTATTTTAATTGTGTATGATATATTAAAAGTAGATGGTATATGGCGCAAAAAGAACTGTAACCTAAAATTGAATAAAATTTTAGAATATTAAAAACAAAATTCTTTGATATATATTTAATATACTTAAGTATCTCAGCTCTTAAAAGAAACGCTTATTTTGGGCTCCAGAGTACAGCTAGTAAAGGGAAGGATTATATACAATTTCGAGGTTTATTGCATAAATACTATAAAAAAAAATAATTAAATTAAACTCTTTATAGCAATAAGCCTCGTTTGTTGACAGATTCAATCGCCTCAATAAATAACAGTCGATAAACTCATGAAATGATTTCGTTGATTTTCTTCTGTTTTTTTGTTTTTTAATTTTCTAAATATCACTTCTTTCAACATAAGTCCTTTTAAGCAGATTTTATTTTATTTTTTTAATTATATTCATATTGTATTATAGTAAAAACAATTTTTTTTTGGTTTAATTTCTTTATTCACATCTGTCATAGTGGTAATGACAACCAGTGAATGTGAGGTCGTTGTAAAAAATAATGTCATGAAAGGCATTACGGTGATCAGTCCCCAGCGTCACCTCACTCGGTGTGATATAGTAAAATTAATAATTTTATATTCCTATTGGTTAGGTTGAGTCGTTGAAGGATGAATCAATAGCTACACCACCTGGAATTTTGAGACACAATCCGATAAACTGAATTAAATTAACTTCATTCCGTTAAATGAAAGAATTGTTTAGTATGAGTATGTAGATAGATGATGCTCAGACCTGTTTTTATTTAAAGTAAAATGAAAAAGCTATAGTTTGAATCCATAAAAAAAATGTGTTAAATTTTTAATATTGCTCCAGGACCAAAACACATCCATTTTCACTTGTGACGCAACAAATTCTTCGGCAATGATGGGCCGATGATCACATATAGGCCACGGACTACCGCTCGGTGTTTCGTTTTTTTTATTCTTGGAATTCTCTCGAGAAGAATAAAATTTCACTAGTTTAAGAGTCTTTGAAAGGGGATAAAAAAAATCATGTTCCTCGTGGTTAATTGTTTAATTTTCGTTTTTTGTCCGAATAAAAAGACAGATATAAACTTTAAAGACATGAAATAAAGAAACAATGGGATTTAGAAACAGGAACGGATTTCTTTTATCTCCTCTGTCGCTAAAAACAATTACTGCTTTGTGATTAAAAACTGACTGAATATAATAATTGTATTAACATATGCTTAATTTTGTTTTTATAGTTATATGCAATTTATAGTTACATATTAATACTGCCTATGCACGAACCCTCAATTGGATAAGTCAACTTTGCTTTAATTTCTTTTTCGAATGTTTATATATTAAATGACTTTAAACTACAAAGCAACCTCAAATAAAATAATATGATTTTTTAAATATGGATTGCTAATGTACGTATTTATGAACATTTCATCACTTGTAGACACAGTAGCAGATTTTCAATTTTGAATGGAGGGCCATAAACAGAAAAAAAAAAATGGCGCGAGTTTTTATCTTGTGTGAAAATTCGACATAATTATCGTGAAAAGAACAAATATAATATATGGCTGTAAGGATCATTTGTTTTGTTTTACTTATTATATATACTTGAAAATATATAAATAAGAATACAATTGAATATATAACATATTTTTTTAGATTAAACACAGGAAGAGGAGAGATAGCCTTCATAATACTGGCACATTGCTAGAACTTTTTCAGCTAAAAATACAAGTGTAAAATATCTTTGATTTCTTATTGTGTACAAATAAAAATGCAATATTTTTCACAGTCCCACTAGTTTGTCGAGGAAAATTTGATAAAAATATCGTATACAAATATAGAGATGATTCCATCATAAAATCCTAAGATATGTTAATATACATTATTATTTTTTAATATAAAAGTCAATTTAAATAAAAGAAAGATTGAGCTCCAGGGCTCCAGATAGTCGACTTTTCTCAATTGACTTTAATTTACACATTTTATTCATCCATGTAGGTTATTTATTTTTTATTTTAATTTATTTTATCTCAAATTATTAGAGGGAGGGCGAAACGATATTCTTGCCCTCTCAACATTTTTATTGGGGAGGGGGAGATCGGCCACCTCGTCCTTCCCCGTCGAAATATGGACCTATGCTTCTAGGACTTCAATGGAAAAGAATCTAACTTAAGAAAATTATTGTTTCAATAACATCTGATTAGCTTTCGTTTTTTGCCACATCACGCGTTCAAGCCTTCCTATCTCGAGCACTCCATAGTTTATTTTTCCTCCTTCTGGAGTATAAAGTAATTTCTTGAGCTGACTGTAAAATTGTATAACACCAATTGGAGTAAGTGAAGTAATACGCTGTATTACTGTCTATAACATTCTCCTAAAGCTTCATCTTGGCCTTCTATGAACTTCAATTCAAGGTCAGTTAACTTAAAAGGTATTCCACCTCAAAATTGGTCTTTTTAAATTTGTATGAATAGAAAAAAAAAGTCCACCAAGTAGAATTAATATAGCTTCCTCAGCATTTCAATTGGTTACATAATTATCTTTTTTTTACGGTAAATAATTTGTCTTTTGGGAACAAAATCATCAGAAGTCATTTTTGAATTTTTGTCTTAGAATAGAATAGAAAATAATTTTGTCCCTTTGGAATGACAAAAAAAAACACAAAATTAAAATATTATATATGGCCTAAATAAAAACAAATATAAAAAGTAAAAATAGAGAGAAATAAGTAATGAAAATATTAGTTAAACATACTATAAACAAAATAAAAAAAATCTATATACAAAACACTTGAAACCATACCAAGACCCTTTAATCAATGCACAGTGGTAAAACATAAGCATACACTTTTAGAGAAAAAAAAAAAATTTACCTAAGTGAACGCACGCCTAAACGAAATGAGAAGGAATTTGATAAAGTCTATATTCGACCTTATCCGGTATCAACACCCGCAATCCTAAAAATCAAAATGAAATCAACAAATCAAAAAACGTATGTGTCAGGCCCGTACTATGGATTTGATGACAGTTTAATTTAAATTTCTGAACATAACCTAAAATCTTATAAACACATATACCTGTGATATAAATAAAAATTTCTCTTTCCATAAGTTCACTGCTTATCTCATATCATTATATTCTTGACTATTAGGTATATTAGTTTTAATTATTAAATGTAATTTGAGGAAATTGGTGCAAACCTATGAGGTACACTATTCTCCATATTTCTTTCAACTTGAGGCAAAGTCAAAAGAGCCATTTTTTAGTTATACTTGTATCAAGGAAAACATAGTTTGCACATCCATAAGTGAAAGCGTGTTTTGAAAGGAATTGATGGACTTTGATGAAATAAGCAGCTACTCGTTCACTTTTCAACTTATCTCTAAATTCTCTCCAGCTTCTTGCCAAACCTAACTTGCGGTTTTAAATTAAGAAGAAAAAAAGATGTTATTGTAGCACATTTAGTCCCCTAAGAATAACAAAAATTATAGCAATATATCCATATAGAATAGCTTTTATATTTAATTTTTTTGGCAGATAATGGCTATACATGATTCATTAGATTACAATGTTATAAAACATTAAAATAAAATAATAGACTTGGATTAGTAAACATAAGAAATTATAGGTACATAAATGTCCATGTGCATACGTATTTGCACAGAGGAGCAATATAAATAATAACAGTGAAATAACCATAGAATAAGATTGACAACACTAAAATACCAGTATTTTATTCTCACATATCGTCGATACAAATGCTAACTATCAAATCACCACTCTAATATCATTATCAACTCAGCCCAAACAACGAGGACGTTTTAATTTCCACACTAATATGTGTTTTTATGGATATTTAAAGATTTCGTATTCGCTCTATAAAAATATTTAATTACTATTACAATCGCTTGAGTGCAGGTTTGAAAATTTTCATATTTTCTTATTCTATAGTATCGAAGATATATTCGGAATTTTCTAGTTGGGGAGAAGGAAAAACAATTCATGTTTAAATCGGGAGTGTACACAGCACCGCGAGTTGCTTGGCAACCAGATAACCTAAGTTATGAGAGATTAAAAAAAAGTACGAGTTCGCTCCCCGGTGCCAAAGGGATTTTAAATATAGCTTAAAGGCGAGGTAAGGAAAAATAAAATAAAAAAATTTCTGTTTAAATGAAATTTAGGATGAGGTTTTCCATATGGAGGTGGGTAAGAAATTCCAAAATAGGTTGTACGCATTGTAAAGGATTATAAACAAAGTAAACAGTTCAATGAAGAGGAATAGACAGGTCTGTTGGCTGGGATCTTGTATTGATGGAATGGACAGAGGAACAAGGAGTAAACAAATCAAGAAGGTTAGATTTTTTTTCGTTGTAAAAATACAAAAAACAAATATACATTCAAGAAATATTGCCGTCGCAAGGCTGGATAAAGTCACTTCAACTCCGTTTTTCCAAAAATGAAATTAATAAAACATTTCATTAGTCTCTTCATCTCATCTCATGCCCGCCAAACAGTCCACCCTAAACAAGGCAACTATGATCGAAGTGAGCAAAATAAGAAGGGAACCAGGAGCCGATGTGTTTTAAGAAGGATAGAATATCGGAATCTATATGCCTGCCAGATGGATTTGCGTACAGACACGGAATCTAATTTCTTCCTTGACGTCAAAAACTGTGAATTTTTTTATCATTGGTCATTCATATATAAAATGAGCGTTAATCTATATAATCTTATTTTCAATATGCAAGATATTGGTCTGTATGAAGAATATATTCGAATTTATAATGTTTCGTCAATAAATTATCCTAAAAGTATGATAATGTCTTACAAAACATGTTTTTCTTCGCCATGCGGAAGGAAATGAATTGTACCGGAACATAATTAGTTGCTTACACGCTCCAATATCCCTTGGAATTAAATTAAATATGGAGGACAATAATAATGTATGCGAATTGATGATATATTAAATTTTTAATTTTAATAATGAAGTTCATATTTTCCAAAAGTTCTTTGGAATTTTTCTTCTAAGAAAAATTCTTCTATTGTCATTTTATAATGTTTTGATATTAATCCAGTACTTTACCTACTAGTGACACTAGTAACCAATAATTCCTTAGCAAAGAATTAGAATTGGATTTTTTTTTGCTGACCCTTTTTATTTTGTTTTTTGTCGTCCGTCCGGACCAGGAAACGAGGGCCGGGGTTAATGCCAAATTTAAAATTAAGCCCCCTCCACCAGCACCGTGAAGCGAATTCTTAATTATTGTATCAAATTATCTTCCCTGAGGTTGCCGAATAACGCAGTGCTGTGGAAACGAGTTGGCCCTCTCGGCCACCTCGCCTCATCCCTTGGCACTGTTGATTCCACCTTATTTTATTTTATTTTTATTTATTTTATATTTTATTTTTATTTTTGTATTTTATTTTTTATATTATATTTTATTTTATTATATTCTTATCTGATTTTCGTCCTTCCAAGTGCTCTTTGGCCTACTATGTAGACATTCATTCTTGTGTAGAGGTTTTAAAACGGATTACTCCGAGCTGCACACCCCGCCCATGTTAACTTCCTTGCCTTCATATCATAAGATCTGTCATATAATAAGAGTTCATATCATAAGATTTACCAGTTTCCCTAAGCAACTATTTATTAGTCTTTCTCCTCCGTATGTTAGTAATCTGACCCCAGATCGCTGTGATTATCGTGCGGAGGTTTTTTTTTTTTTTTTGTTTCTCCCAACCTTTCAATACTTCATTCTAGGATCCTGTTTAGTGTCCAGGTCTCGCAGCTTTATATCATAATTTAATGGCTTTATCACATCTTTAATTTAAGATTTCTTGAAATTATTCGGGATTTCAATGTCTTTGAAAGGGAGAAGGAAACCTTGTTTTGCACTTGTTATCACTAGCGGATTGAGGATTTAATTTGGGGATTTTTTTTTCCATAAACGTATAACGATAATTAATTTGAAAAAATAATAAAAGAAAGAAATTAACTTCCTATAGGAAATAGTAGTTATTGAAATCCTATTAAATTTAATTACACGAACAAGAATACTTCGAGAGATATTTTTTAATAATTTTTCTGTAAAACATTGTTATATTTTACCATTTTGGGGGGAGGGCTTCAGCCCGAAAGCCCCCCTATCCATAGATCCGCCTTTACTTGTTATAAGGTAGTCGATTTCCGATCCTAGGTCATTCATTGAGGTTATTGTGGAGCCGAGGTATTTGAAATTGTCTACTCTCCATAACTATTTTCCTATAACTTCTTACGCAGATCCTATTATTAGGGTACAATCAGCGGCTTATTATCATATATTTTGTTTTATCTTCATTTACATGTACTCCGATTTGCTCTGCTTCTTTTATCAGTGTCTTAATAATTATTAGTGTGTAATCAAGCATGTATGTATTTGAGTAGTTATTTTCATTAGCTTAGTTGATGTGGGTGGGGGGGGGGGTGGGGGGGTGTTTGATTATTTGGTAGGGGTGGTGGTTTTGGGGAAGGGTGGTGGTTGTTGTTGATTTTTTTGTTGGTGTGGGGGTGGTGATTGGTTTATATTGTTTTTGGAGGGGTTGGGGGATTGTGGGGTTTTGATAGATTGTTTGTTGGTTTTTTTTTTTTTGGGTGGTTGTTAGGATGTAGGTGGGGAGGGATGATCAGGTGGGTTTTGTGGGTTGGGGGGTGAGTGGGATGTGTTTGGAAGTTTATTAAGTGTTATTGTGGGGTGGGATTTGTTTGGTGGGGGGGGTAGGTAGTAGGGGAGGGGGGTGTGGGTGGATAGGGTTGGAGTGTTGAATGATTGGTAGGAGAAGGGTAGGTGGTTGTTGGATTTGTTGTGTGTGAATGGTTGTGGATTTGATTGTTTTTTGTTATTTTTTAATTGGTTTTTGTGGTTGGTGTTGGTTTTGGTGTTGTTTTGGTTTGTTGTGTTTGTAGTTATTAGGATTTGAATTGTGGATTTTGGAGATTTTTTTGGTAAGGATTATGGATTATTGAAAGTATTTATGGGGTGTTTTTTTTTTTTTTTAAGATAGTTGGAAGGGGTTTTTTTGGTTTGGGTTTTGGTGTAAAGATTTGAAAGTGAGAATAGGATGAGGGTTGGGGTAGTTTTTAGGGTTGTTGGTGGTAGTTTAAGATGGATTGTGAGTATATTGGGATTATTATTTTGTGTTATTTTTTTTGTTGTTTTAGATATAATTGTTAAGATTAAATGTTAGATGTTTAGGTAGTGGGGGTATATATGGAGTGTTGGTTTATTAATGTAGGTTTTGAGGGAGGATGGTAAGATTTTTGATTGATGAAGTAAAGTATATGGTGAATTTTAAAAAATTAAATGGTTAAGTAGTAGGATATTGTTATTGGTAGTTAGTGGAATTTGTTTTGGTTATAATTTGATTTTATTGATTTGTGGGTGGTGAGGGTGGTAGTTTTGGAAATTGGAAGTATATGGTGGTTAGGGAGGAGTGGTTAAAATGTAGGAGGTGGTCACAGCCGAGGAAGAGGAAGCCCAAAACAATTTGTTATTCACTCCTGTGTTCGTGGCGTAATGACACAGGAGCGCGAGGTGGAGGAGGAGAAAGGTGGAGGAAATGAACTGAATCGGAGGTTTGGTCGACTGCCAGTAGAGAAAGGTTGGCGTGATAGACCCTACCGCAAACCGGAAATAAACATACGCACTCGACTGTCCAATGTTTGGTCGTGTTATAAAAACTTTCATCTTCACATTCCAATTCATCCTTTTATCATATTGAAAACAATCAACGAATGTCCTAAAGTAAAGAAAACAAAAGCAAGCCTCAGATCTGGCTAGAAACCAGCGCTCATCGGTACCTCCTCTTGACTATTTGAGCATGCCATTTAATGGTATCCCACATTCAAAAGTTTCGAAATGTAATGGATATTTGTTATAATCTTGTTTTGTCATGATAATAGTGCAGTTTTTCGTGTATTTTCTTGTATTATAATGTTGCCTGATTTAACATCATGTATATGACGTTGGTTTTGCGTTAACATTTTTTTTTTTGTGGGTTTACGTCAATGGTACAGTAAAACTGTCCATTGTAACAATATAATAAGAGTTCTATATCGTCCCGAAGCCATCTTCTTCTTAGTCATTTAGGGGGATCATTAGGAATTGAACAAAAGTCTTGATTAAAATTAAGTGAGTTTCTATGGTTCTGGAGTTTTGTGAGACTGTGGAAGGAGAGGTTTACATAGGATTTATATAGGTTTTATAGGATAGGTAAGAATGGTACGTGCCGAGTCGGTATTATTCGGAACACAACGGTCATTAAGAATAGTTTTATTTGTAACAAAATAATTAGAATTGAAGACATTATGAAGGCATTTCCTTGTCTTTTCATTGATGATTCTATTCATAATGATCTCAGGTAAGATCATGTTCCAATTAGAGCTGAAAATTACCTAAATTTCAGTTGTAATTTATGGTAGCGCATCTGTTCAACGAGTTATATCAAACCATATATTATAGATTCTATCTTTCGGGTTTGTTATCCATGTAATATGGAGTTCAAATGTCGTGACGTTGTAATATATAGATTAATCATAGTTCAATGAATTCATTGAACTGTAGTTATTTTGAAATTTCAGTAAACAGATGTTTTTTCCCAGCTGGTGAGCTCGCAAAGAATTGTTAAATGTTTTTCTATTATACAATACTAGTGTTCGCCCAGGGGTCGAAATTCGACCATAGCCATTAAAAATTTGAGGAAAACATAATTAAGAGCTTAAACATAATTAAGAGGATTGAAGGATTGAAAACATAATTAAGAGGAACAATCGAGCTTAAATTTTATTTATAAATTATTTATAAGTAATAAAAAATAGACTCATTCAAAAATATTTAATTTTAATTTTAATTTATGTGTGTTATTATCATAATAAATTAATGTTATGATTCAAGTGAAATCCATTTTTACGCAGAACTTTTCTGTAAACAATGTTCTTTTTGAATGATCTGTTATTGTTAAGTACATAGCTTTGTCCACTGCCATTGAAAATATAAATTTCAAAATTTTAAATGAACGTGCTCTACTTGCTGCCACATATAATTATCCATGCGAAATTACTGGACGTCGCAATAATGCACATATTTTTCAGAAAGTTGACCCTGCGATTTGATTATGGTCATAGTAAATGCTGCTATTAATAAGAACATTGTTCTTTGAAATTATAATGGAAATATTGTGTCAGAAAAGATTAAATAAATTCTTGGAATTAAAATTCTTTCATTTAAAGTAACTCCCGTTAGTACTTCATTCTTATTCGTGTTCCATTAACTAATGATTGTGCACTATTTAAGTTAAGAATGAGTGTAACTATAGAATTTATTTTTAAATTCAATTTATGAGGTAACATTCCACTAACATTCAATGATATCACCTCTTCAAATAATAGTCCCGATTACTTAATTAAATGTAAAGTTTTCGATTTATCAAAAACCAAAATAAAGGAAATCGACTTTGAAAAAGAAAAAGTATTAAATGTATAAAATGATACATCTCTGCAGCAAATAGTCCGATTTTGACGATGATATTTTTTTTTTTATTTTGTATGTAATTCAGGAAGCTTTCAAATAAATATTGGTCAGTAAAAAAATGTGTACTTTTTGAGTTATTCGCAAATAAAATACTGAATTCAGCATAAAAATGTATGCAGCTTGTTTTCGGGAAAGTATGTTATATACATAAATTATAAATATTTCAAGGGGAAGACTTCAGCTAAGTTTCATTAAAATCGTTAATGCCGTATTGGCGCTACAGTCTAAAGCGAATAACGTTTTTCGGCCGCCATTTCGAAAGGAAATGCCTGACGATAATGAAATGTATACAAAAACACTTCTAAATATTATTGCGACGTTGTGTCAAAATTTCAAAGAAATCGGTGAAGAATTTCCGGAAATTAGCTATTTTGAACAAACTACCATTTATATTTGTATTTATTAACAGTACTAAAGCTCGTCAATAGCTGCTGAACAAAAAAAGAAGGAAGAAAATCGGTTGAATAATAGAGGAGAAAAAGGGGCTGAACCGTTTTGTGTTTGCCTATTTATATAAAATTATTTTAATTTATGAATGAGCCAAACTGTAATAAATAGTCTCTAAAAATCGTTAGTTGTGTACCTGGACCAGTTGGGAACCGGGGTTGATTAATGGTCGAGGTCCTCTAAATAAAAATAAATAAATAAAACAAAATAAAGGACAGACAAATTTTTAATAAAAGCAATAACTTTCTCGTCTGATTGTAACATGTTTGCAATGCTGTTTCCATTCAATTAAGAAAAAAAAACACATAAAAATAGAACTAGGCCTTTCGGTGTGGCATTACTTTTGGAGCAAGTTAAAAATATTTTAATTTTGTCTAAATCAGCATTCGATTTAAATCATCAACAATTTGCCTTCTTGCATTCCAAAAATTTAATTATAAAATTTTGATTGGTACATTTTACTTACCCATATTAATTTATTAACAGTCCACGCCCTATCCTTAGAACCACATGATCTTGATTTTTCGGATATCCTGTTCCTTGAGCTGACTTCCTCCAAGGTCTTTTGGTAACTGTCAAGTTCACTTTAGTCATCGATATGATTATATTTTCATATTCTCTTAATTATTTTTCAATCGAATTCAGGTATAAACTATGAAAAAATAAATAAATAAAAAAAGTCCATATTATATGAGGATAATGATACATATTTAAAATTCAGATTACAAATAATTGATGGCGCTGAATTTCAGTTTAAGCTTGTTTTATTCTTCGGGAAATTCCCACTAAAATTCTTAAACTGATCAATTTAATAAAATCATAATTCAAAGTGGACATTAGACATGCTGACCAACACATGTCATCCTCATGGGAAATTTTTTAAAAGATGATCCCGAAAAAAAATTAAAAGAGTCTTGATGGAACCAGTTATTCAACTTCGGCTAACTCTTCTTTTTTTCCTGAGATCATCTTTGCCATTTAATCTTGTAACTTCTTCGCCTACTTTATTTAATCTCTCAATCCTTTTCGTTCAATCCGAGTTGGTCATGTCCTGCATACGGTTGGAGTCATTACTCTCCCAATTATGGAAACTCGGACAATGAGGTAGTAACCTCAGATGGAATACAAAGGCGAGAGGCACCCCAGAGGTTGATCACTAATGATAACCTCAGGTCGACCTTGAAATTTAGAAAGGAGCATTAAGAAGAGGTTAACCGCCCGGTCGCCGTTACTCCGCTGTCCTTGCTCTCAGCAACATTTTCTTTCTGAGGAGTCATCTGCTTCTTCCACTTCGAAAAACTCCATCGTCTGAAAACCACAACTATCTTTAAATTCCATCCAAGGGCAATCATTCATCAAGATTTTTTCTTGTTTCCTTTTAAACATCATTTATATATGTAAAATGACTAAGTCGTTTGAAAAACTCAAAATAATGAATATAACGAATAATATAAACTATTACTCATTAGTTTATTATTTCCAAATAGTATATGGCTCATTTTCAAGACACGTGTACTTTCAATAGTCAGCTATTTCAAAAATTCAGTTTTCAACTGGACGAATTTATCAAATCGTTTTCATATTAAGGGCTAGTCAATTTTTTTTTTTTGTTTTCAATATAGATCTTTTCGAGAACTATGCAGTATTAATTAAAACATTTATAACCTCAACAACACTTGGTGAGGGGGTGAGGGCGAAACCTAATAAACTGAAGTTTAGTTGATAAATTAATAAGCACGTTCCGGTGCGGGGGGGGGGGGAGCTTTTAAGTGTGACATTAATTCTCCGTCCTCTCCCCTGGCCCTGAAAAACCCGTATAGCCTAAGAGGCGAGAAAGGAGTGGGAAACAAAATCGCTAGAAATAATGAACATCGCAAAGTCAATAAAATTAAGAGTATATTTATTTCGTAGAACTTATAATCGATGTCTAAGATAGTGTTCAAAGACATCGACATTGCAGTAGTTGAAAGTTTAATTTTTCGCCTTACATTTTATCGCTACAGACTACTTGGCGAATCCATGAACCAGATGGTGCATTTATTGAAAATTTTTTGGCTTGAATAACTCTTCTTTGGCTTGAACTATTCTTCAAATAATATTTTCGAAATATAACCTTTATATATTTAAAGTTTTCGATTTAATAAAGACCAAAATAAGAAAAATCGGCTTTACATTAAAACATATTCAAAACGCCATATCTCTGTACCAAGTAGTCCTATTTCGCTGATTTTTTTTTCTGTGTGTATAAATCTTCGCTTATCTTGATTATAAGAATACACACAATCCTAAAAGGGTGGTCATTTTTGTGTGTTCCGCAAATGAAATTCTGCATTTATCATCTGTTTTCAGCTTCTTTTCGGATAAATATGTTATATACATAAATCTATTGAAAATAATAAACTAAAATAAAGAAAATAAAGGCTTCTAATTTTATCCATAAGTAATTGTCAATAGATAATTAGAAAAATATACTCTAAATTTCATCAATGGTTTAAGTCATTCTTTAAATAATAATGATTTTACGTGTTAATTTTTCTTCTTTTAATCTTAATTTTTAATTATAATGGTTTTTCAATTTTTCTTCTTGTATTTTTTAATATTTAAATTGTACATTTAACTCCTCTTCTTTTAACATTAATTTTATTTTTAAAACCGTATTTTTAGATTAAATTGCTGGAATCATTAACCTTTTATTTAAATTTCTCTGTTAATTTATCTTTTTCTAATCTTTAATATTTAATTTTAATGGGTTTTTGTCAACTTTTCTTCTTGCACTTTTTAATATTTTATTATCAATATTTAAACCGTACTCTTTAACTTCTCTTATATTAATAACAATTTTATTTTTTAAAGAAAATATTTTTAGCTTTTGTTCTTAAATCATTAACCTTTGTTTTAATTGTATTTGTTAACTTATCTCCTTTTAATCTTTAACTTTCAATTGTACTATCATATTCACCTGTAACTATTTTTAACTTTCTAAACTTTAAATTGTATTTGTTAGCTGTAGATTTGTTATGTAGTAGTTGATATAGGGCAAAAAGTGTAATATAGGGCGAAAATGACCCAGGTGATTGAAGAAGCCAAAACATTCATAAATAAATAAATAATAATTTAATATCAATAGTGATTTTCAATTATATTTTAACAATGCAATGTTTCTTCGTATATTATTTCAATTAAAAATATGTTGTCAACAATATAAACATCGAAACTGCAATAGTTTTCAGCCCATACCTGGAGTGACCTTTTTCATAAGTTAAGCCATTAGTAAATCCTAGTTTCTCTCTCAGGTATGCCTGCATTACAAAATCGAGATACCCAAAAACGGAAACGTCTTCAGCAATGTATATAGAACACCTATTAAATAAAGTATATTATGTATTCTACCATAAGAATAATAAGAACAAAAATCTTAAATCATTCAATATCCGTCATAGAATCATGTAGACAGTCTGGATCTATCTTCTATGGATCTATCCATGTATGGGATATTATTACTATTCTATTTATAGCAATAAATTTAAAGATATGCCTTCATGATTGATATGAAGTAAACATTTTGTTCAAAAAAGTCAATTTTACAAATATAAAATTTTTATATTATATAATATTTTATTTTAAAAAACACAAAAAGTGCTAAAGCTCTTTGACAAATCTGAGGAAATATTCAATATAAAATGTACTAGCAAAAACAAATTATTACGAAAAAAATTTTAGGTTCTTTCATGCCTTTTTAACATTTGAGCTGGATTATATATAAATTACTTTTTTTTCTTTTAGTATAAATCTTTGCTTACCTTTAAATAAGAATACACACAATCCTAAAAGGGTGATAATTATTTAGTTTTTCAGAAATAGAATTCTGCATTCATCAACTTTTTTCAGCTTCTTTTCGGATAAATGTGTAATATACATAAATTTATTGAAAATAATAAACCAAAATAAATTCTTCTGATTTACCCATAAGTAATTGTCAATAGGTAATTCACATCAAATTTCATCATCAAAATTCATCAAATCACTTTAAATTTTAATTTAATGTAGATTAATCGATAGGATATAGTGTTGGTTTACGTAGAATTCATTTGAAAAGTTTACCTCAGGAATTTCTCTGTTCAGGGTTTGGCCTATGATATGTCATCATGCTTGAGCTTTTTCTTTCTACGTCTTATGTAAGGATGCCTCCGTTTTTTATTTAAATCCACCGGGTTACTAGGCACTATATTTGTAAATATGGTGAAGAAATGATATACGGTAGACTCTTCTGTTCTAAGAGAATTTGGTTGGATATTATCAACCAACTTCTCTTATATTTTTTATACAGTGTTTTATCTTTTCGTATCGACTGAATTAGTGTAGAATTCATGCTTTCTATATACTGCTATAGAATGATGTTTTTCCAAAAACAAAAGTACTGGTTTATTTGAATGCGATATGAATATTATTGCGTTAGATAGACTGTTAATCGAATAAAACTTTATTATCTTCATAAAATCACGCTAAAGCCCACAATAATGCATCAATAAGTGTCAATCGATCTGGATAACTGCAACTAAATACGCAAGCACGACAAATCCTTTCATTGGAGTCGACTTAATAGAAGACCTGGTTGCGGGAATAACCTGTATGTACTTATTCAACAGGGAAAAATAACTACAAATATCGTTTATGCTGCAGTACTCCAAGTTTTATTTCAATAGTTTATAAAATGACTCATGTATTTGAAGCAGAAATTTATAATCGAAAATTTAATGCGGATCAAATTGCGGTGTACAGCTTTTATCGAATAAGTCTTACTACTGTCGTTACTAAATTAATTTACAATATTTCTCATTTCTTCTTATGCGCATACTATTTATTTTCAAGTTAATTTATTATTAGCCATATTTACACCAATTTTTAAAAAATTTTGTCAACTTAATGACTATTCATCACAATGACGACGTTTCGGCTCGTTTTTTCGTAAATTTTTTTTTTAGACTTGAAAATGGCTCGTTTCAAGTCTAAAAAAAATTTCATTTACAATCATATATTAACTTTAACATATTTCAAATTATAAAGATTCTTATTATATACCTAAAATACCCATCATGTACTTGTCCTTTTCACTTATGCGAATTGCAAGTGTCTACTCATAATAAAATTCCTTATTATTGTCATGTTCACCTTTAATTATTTTACAACTTTATTATTACTCCATTCCTTCCTTTTAAATGATTCAAATAAGTTAAAATTACCTTATTCATGATTCACCCACATGTCATCCATCTCATTTCTATTCAGTGACTGGTTATTATTATAGGAGTAGGGGAAGACTATTTATTTTATTAAATGGATGACATGTGGCAAGGTGCTTTTAACTCTGGCACTAATCCCCATCCTCAACCTCTAGCCCGTCAAAACCCCAGTTTGCCTAAATGACGAGATAAGGGAGAACAAATAAAAATAAAAAAGGGATAAATTGAATAATCTGGAGCAGATTTTCGAATGTCTAGTCTTGAAAATGTGCTACCAAGTCGAAGAGATCTATCAGATTATTTTCAGTAGATTGATATCAGTAAGGTTGGACGTCAGTACAAATAACAGTATTGTTTAACTTTATCCCAAGGCTGTTAGAGTAATAAATTGTTATCACCTGGTAGAAAAACAACTGTCTACAACCAGTGGCCTCTTTGCCTTGCTAAAGCAGGATCGTTTCTTCTGCGTTAGGTTGTTGTGTGGTTATACGAATGGTGATGTATTGGCACATTTCAACTTCTAAACTTTAAATTACAAAATCATAATAGATAAATGACGTATGAGATTTAAGCTTTCTTAATAACTGTGTTTGATACAAGGACCGGTTATAGCCAAACTGTAATTTAAAAATGGCCTAAAATTATTGAAAGAAAAAAGAAATACAACACATGAGGAGTTAATTGGAGGAGTTCACCTTGAAGACCTGGTCATCAGGATCCTCTCCTGGTCTTTGAAAGGCCCCACGCAGGAGATAATAAACTACTCCGTGTGACGTAATTCTGATCAGAAATAATACAATTATCATAACTTGGTTAAGTATTTTATATTTATATATATATATATATATATATAACTATAATACGTAAGTATTATATATACATAATAAAATATAATATACATATTTGACTAATTAATAAAATGTATATTAAAATTAATATACATTATATACATAATAAAATATATATATATATATATATACATACAAATGGTTTATTATACAACACTTCAATTCTCAGTGACTAAACTCGAAGAAAAGCAATTGTACAATCGAAATCAATAATTAATGTTTTGTTGACATATTTATTGATAGATATAGTTATAATTAAAATACAAAAAAGCAGCGTTTTAATCATGTTTAAATTGCATTATAACATTTATGTTTTCTATTTATTTGTGCTTTTTTATCTTATTCTTAACAAATCTAGTTCCAGGATTAAGTTGTTTCTATTCTATTCCATTTTATTCTTAAGAAATAGGTTGGGGAAAGCTTATCTATAGATATATGAGCCTTTCAGTTGACAGAACTCAAATTTCAACATTTTTGAGTAGTTATTTCTAGTACAAAAATTTATAATATCTCTACAGAGAGTTGATTCCAGAGTAGGTAATTGCATTATTGCCGTATAGAACTGTAAATAAGGGTATACATTTTCCCACTAAAAATATCACTAAAATTAATGATCAAAAATATTGAAATTGGATTTAGTCATTCTATCAACTGAAAGCAAAAACATTGATAGGCCATTAAATATTTTAGAAAAATAGAAACCAAGTTGTGTATTTAGAGTTCCGTAATATATTTAAAAGACGTAGGGATACAATTACAAAGCTTAAAATAAGCATCAGCGTGACATACCCGGATGATACCATTTATTTTTCCTTGATTGTATCTTCATAATTTCATAGGAAATTCTTAGACAAATTTGTAGGTATATTTTAACGGCATTTATCAGAAGATAACTAACCCCTACTCTGTCTGTGTGTGTGTATGTTAGCTCAAAAATGAGTCGTACGAAGCTGTTAAAGTATTTAAGATAGCTATATGCCTTAGATGTGACAGCAAATTTTTTCTTAAAATTGGCTAACCGGAAGTGCCAGTTTATATCGACGCCGAAACACATTTTTACAATTTTATCAAAAACGGCTCTAACGATTTTAATTAAACTCAGTGCATCATTGTATAATCAAGCGGTCTTTTATGTCAGTAATTGGTCTTATCCCCGTTGATGTCACTTTACAGGGCTTAAATACCAAATGTTCATATGCGGCTTCCTCTAAAGTACCTTTAATATGATTTATTTTAAATAATTAACTATCTCTCATTATTAAGAGTTACGAAAAAATGCTAAATATAACTTTTGGAAGAATTTAATAATTGAATAAAGGAGAAAAAAAAATAAAAATGCTTATCCAGGTCGAAAAAGAATCTCCGAAAGTACTAGTCAGAAGGAAGTATACGTTTAATATGTAGTTGGAAAGCTGAGAAGTTTAGAAAAAAAACAGTATCTAATATAGAAAATTTTAGAAGGTAACGGCGAGTGGTGAAAGTATAAAAATAATAATTTCTAAAAACTAACATTATTTAACGTAAATCACGTGTTTCCAAGGAAATTAAATGAAATTTTCTTACTAAATGTATACTTTTAAAAAAAAAATTTTAAGTTCAAAAAGTATTTAAAAGCCACGTATTCAAGGCAATGACACTGTTCAAGATACTATTTCATTGTACTTGTGTGAAAGCAGAAGTGAAATACAAAATATTTATCAGAGATATGTTTATAACTTTAAATATATTTACTGTAGTTTAACAACTCTTGATCTGATATTGTATTTAAATAATTAGGTATCTATCGTCCGTTTATTCCGAAAAATCATCATGTAACCATTTATAAAATCAAATTAGTGAATAACTTAATGAATTTTCCTTTTGTGATATTCCAACAGTGTCCACTTTCAATTTGTATGACAACTTTTGACCTGTCTTTGACAGACAATGGAAAATAAGAGTTTAATAACTAATAGTCCAGCAATCCATAATCCACGGATCTTAAAAGACGTAATCAACCAGTGATATAATAAATAGGACTTTTGTTATTTTAATGGTATTTGTGATTTGTTAGCTGTAAGCTTTTAGCTTTAGCTCGGTAAAAAATGCAGTTAAAAAACTTTATAATAGCCCAACATGGCCAGAAAATAATTTCTATTTAAAGTTGAGCGGTAAGTGAAAGTTGCGTCTTGCGCGCACCAGACTTTTTTCTACATTTTATCCATCTCAAAATACAAC